TATCGGCCGCTACATCACTCGCCTCGATCTCCCTCACACTGAGCTCCCTAATCGGGGCACTGATCGGGAGCTCATACCAAAACAGCTACTTAAACAGGTCAATATATGGAAATACGAGCCCGAAAGTTACTTACATAAAGTACGCATCACTACTCGCGTGCTTCATGATAGCCTTTGCGTGTTTTATTCAGACAGCGAGGTGTTTTGTCCACGCCAATTTCCTCATAAGCATGCCAAATTGCAAGATGCCTGTGAAAAATGTCGAGAGCTCGGTTATTAAAGGAAGTACCTTTTGGGTTATCGGTTTGAGGTCGATATATTTTGCGGCCAATTTGTTGCTCTGGATTTTCGGGCCGATCCCAATGTTTGCATGCTCGGTTTTCACGGTGGTGCTTCTGCAGTATTTGGATAGGAATGCGGCCCCACTGCCTCGTTTTGGTGAATCCGATAAGATGGACAAGGAAATGAGTGAAGTTGATGTAACGTATTGAGATTTTTATAGCATGTTATGAAATAACGAAGATCATATCATCATATCGAGTATTACTAAATAACACAACTTTTAATTTGTACAAAAGATCATCGAATGACATTTCCCTTTTTCCATATTGTTTATGTACTAATCTGAACTTTGATCCTCACTGGCTGCATTTATTTGAGAGCCGTCCGTAATATCACCAGATTTTGAATCAGATGAGCTTGTTGTTGATGGTGTTTCACTTTCGCTACTAGAATCTTCCATGAAGGAATTAAATGCGAGCTGACTTGAGTAAAGAAATAAACCGAGAGAATTAGCCCCAAATACGAATGTGGCGAGGTAACACAAGCCGTTGATGATCGTCCTGCGCAGATGTAATCAAAAGGGGCTTAATAATTTAGTGAAATTTTCGAAACGGAAGATAATTTAGATTGCAGGTAACGAAAAATTCACCGTATGGTTATGGTTATCTGGCGGACCTGAAAAATGATAAGAAATTGGAAGCATTAGAATGAAAGCCCATGCGAGACTCACAAAGTTAACAATTTCATGCTTAAAAATTATAATTTGTGATGAATATGATAGGTTATACAAACTAAATGCTTGAACAACACACCGAGTAAGTATCCGAAATTGTTTGGCGATTGAGAGCATCTTCAATGGTCGTCGTGAATTTGAAAAGGATTACTGCAATCACGCCGGCTGTCACCGCACCTAAAAACGCCTGAATTGGCGAAGGTGGAGATTTGCTTCCGACCGGAGACAGAGTTACTGATTTTAAGCTCTCCACAGCTTCCTCAGTAAGTGATTTCTTTTCACCAGATGATCTGAATCTCTATTTCAACAAAATCACCAGTTGATGAGAAAAGCTATATTTGGAGTCTAACTACACTTAAAAATCTTTTAACTTTTCTTGAAATGATAGTATCTAGTTTTCACTATAATTTATATTTTGAGAGACCCATAATCTCTTGCAACCATAAAACTCTTTACAACCAACTGAAAAGGTTAAAACTCAATACTAAAATTGAAAACAAGCACTCAAAGCATGTACATAAGCTGCAATCAGATTTCGAAAATGTAAGCAATTATCACCAGCAAATGTAAGCAAGCTAATTTCGACAAAAACTTCGGCGAACAAACAAAGATTAAGAAATACCGTTTCTTTGGCACGTTTCGCCCGCCGGCGGAGCGAGCGGAAGAGGAAAACGGTGATGGCGCCGGTGAGGAGGACGCTGGTGGCTGTCTGGAGCGGCGTAGGGTCGTCGGAGGTCGCGAAAATGTGGGGAGATGAGGGAGATAGCTCGATGGGTCCCTCCTGACCCGGATACTGCGGCGTCTCCGTGACGGCGGCGGTGGTGGGTTCTTCAGATAGCTGCGCAATCCATGTTTTCCGAGCAGTACACCGGGAATACTGACGGGTGGGTCTCAGGGAAAAATTGAGAGAATGAGAAAATGCGTGCGGCGGAGATAGGAGGTTGGCGGCGTAGAAAGGGCGGAACTGCGGTGTAGTTATCAACATTTGGTGGGCCGTGGGGGTTTAAGTTCAGTGGGCTATGGCTGATCAGTCTATTTTTCCTTTTTATTTATTTTATCAATGGTCAGTGTGGTGTGGAAGATATTATCATGAGAAATGTACAATCTTTACTTGCATGTCGTACAATATACGTTAGCTGAAGATGGTTTTGGGCTGTGGAAGTTGATGGGCTTAGCACAGAAAGCTTGCCCTTTTGATATGGGCTTTGAGGGGACCCAAATCTAGGTAATCTGAGGACGATATTACTTTAATGATAGAGATTTGAATCTTTGCTAGATAAGGTTATGGGGCATGAAAGTTCATGGGCTTGAGATAAGAAGCTTGCATTTTGTTATATTTATTATTATTAGAGTTGTTAAATGAACCAAACTAGTCACGAACACATCTTGGTGCAACTTGTGAAAGTTTGAGCTTGTTTTATTTGTTTAAACTTGTTTATACAAGAATTGAGCTTGTACATGAACTACTCATTTCTTTTTCATTTGTATGAGCTTTAATTGAAGCTGTCGAGATTGAATGTTCGCAAATAGACGTTTCACATTCGTCTAACAATTCGTTTAAGGTTTTAAATTTAGTAAACAAGTGAGTTGAACCGAACTGACTCGTCTACTAAATAAAAACGAAGTTCGAACATGTGCTACTCAGCTACTCAACTTGAATAACACCCCGGATTTATTATGGATGGTTAAATCTTGAGTTTATGTAGTTTTATGTGTTTCTATCATGATTTCAGCAGTTAAAAAGTCGCCTATTAGGTAGTTTTATGTGTTTCTAACATTACTTCACATATGATTTTTACCCAAGCATTATTATTTTTCTATGATTTCGTAACCAATTTGGACCAAAAAAATCAAAAGACATGCAAACTCGCTGTAGCAAAAATGAATTTTTCCGTAAAAGCAACCTTAACTAATTAACTTAACCAGTGAGCCCATACAATTGGTCTATAAACCCATCGACATAACCATCCATAAACCCCGGCCTAACCAGAGTCTCCCTCCACTTACCATGGTTAGCTCTCACCGTCTTCCCCACCTCACTTTCTTCCTCCATAACGCTCTTCACCGCCCCGCATAGATCCTCCGCAGAGAACCACCCCATTTCCCCTCTCTTCACCTCCACCGCCACCTTCAGATCCTCCGCCAGCAGCCGCGTGTTCAGGATCTGGTCCGCCAGCCGCGGCACCAACACGATCTGGCTCTCGCTCAGCAGCGACTCCCACATTGACCCGAACCCACAATGGCTCACGAAGCACCCCACCGCCACGTGTTTCAGGATCTGTTCCTGCTGGACCCACCCGTCGGTCACCACCGCCCGTTCCCCGACCCGATCCAGAAACCCCTCCGGCAGGGCCTCCTCTATCGAGTCGGCGCCGTGGGGCTTCGATAGGGCGACGAAGAAGGGGAGGCCCGTCATCTCGAATCCGAGCAAGAGCTCCTGAAATTGTGCCTTCTGGAGGATCATCTGGCTGCCGAAGGCGCAGTAGACAACGGACCTGGGCCCGAATTTGTCGAGCCAGGTCTTCCAACGGTCCTCTAGCTGGCCCTTGGGGGAATCCGGGAGGACCGGGCCGGAGAGGATGACGGGCTTCCCGTACTGCGCCGAGAGGTAATCGCACATCGGGCCCTCCAGCTCGCGGCAGGTGCGTATCCCGATGGCGTCGCAGCCGCTCATGGCGGCGGAGATTCGGGCGTCGAACCGTGTTGCGCCGTAGTCCATGGCGATGAAGGACAGGGTGCGGGCCTCCTGGCCGCGGAGGACGACTGTGGTGGAGGGGTACCCCTCCGGCGGCGTCATCAGCTCCTCGTCCGTCAGCGGTCGGTCCTCCGGGATGACCCTCGCCGGAACCCCGCCGATCGCCATGACCGAGGCGCAGATGACGTTGTAGCATACGGTCTTGAACCCGATCTTCGCAGCTAAGGCCGGGATCCAGTCTGCGAAGTCGTAGAAAACAACGTCAGGCCTGAGGTCGATCAGCAGGGACTCGACCTCTGGGGACATGGCATCGAAGGCTATGGCGAGTGGGTTCTTGGCGGTGATGTCGATGTCAGAGGCGGTCTCAGCTCCGGCAGGGAGGCCCGGGACGTGGGGAACGGGGACAGGGTGGAGAGAGACGAGTTCCGGCCGGAGGTTGTGGTGGGCCAGCTGTGAAAGGGCCTTTGGAGGGAGGAGGATGGAGATGGAATGGCCACGGCCGGCGAGGACGTTGGCCAGGTGGATGAAAGGGGTGATGTGGCCGATGGCGACCCATGGGAACATGGCTATGTGAAGCTTCTTGGGATGCTCGAGTTCTGACATTTTTTTTACGTGTTTGTTTATTTTGATCGAGCTTTGGGTTGTGAAGAAGATGAGGAGGAATTGAAGAATGTTGTGTGTATTGCTGAGTTGATTAGGTACTTATGTGAAAATGGTGATTAGGAATTGAAGATTTGTTTTTTTGTCTTTTTTGAAAGAGGGAGGTAGATGTTGGGGGTAGATGGGTTCAATGGGCTGGTGAAGAATGGGGTTAGGTGAGATGATGAGGAAAGTGGTTTGAAGGTTTGAATCTTGGCAATCGGAAGGTTTTTTCATGGAGGCCTAATTGAAACAACTTGGTGGTAGACTCGGTTCATTGCCCGTTAGACATCCTACATCAAAACAACGTGTCAACGTGGCGTAACAATGGCATCTCACGAGCAACTAAGCTGCATTACAATTAGGCCTAACGGGTTAGGGGGGTTAGGTGAGTTGATGAGTCATTGTATTTGATATAGTCAATTCGAACAACTCAGTGATAGACTCGGTTCATAAGATTGCAATCGTAGGATACCTCGGATAATTTGAACGATCAGGGTGTCGATCTCCAATTAAAATAGTTGAGTAAGGGGTTTCGGATGACTTGAAAATGATCGAGCTAATATGGTACATTATGAAACACGTTGCATTGCGTGCGGACTAAAAAGGGCGTTGAATCTTTGAAAAAAAAAATGAACATAAATGAAAAAGTTATATTATTATTATTACTCTCACACTCACACCTTCACAAAGAATCATTTTTGGTGCACATTACTAGCTTGAGTATTGGAGTGCTTCTTATGTAGGAAATCTCTCACAAAATTTTTGGAGAAGAAGAAACTTGCTAGCATAGAGTGGAATGCATTAGTACCAACAGATATTTCCCGACGAACACTATTTCACTTCACAAGATTCTTAAAAGATCGTTCATCCCACAATTACCCTAAACAAATAGATTTATTTAGACTTTTATGTGATTTATACCAATTAAGTATTCAAGGGTGTGTTTGCATATAAAAAAAACTCAATTCATACTTTATTCATATTCGAAATATAATTCAACTTTAACTCAACTCCATTATATTTAATATTATCAATATAATTAAATAATATCAACCAATCATTCTTACTATTCATCTACTTACATAATTTTAATTTACTATTCATCTATTCACATAATTCGAACTTTATAATAATACCAT